TCTTGCATTTTATTCTTTATGTACACATAAATGATGGATGGTCACGATCCAGTCCATGTACTACACCAGAGCTGTTGCTTTTTATATATATATATATATATATATATATATATATTAGTGCCACTTTACACAGTGGAGACCATAAAAAGATGGAGTTTGTACTGCCCAAGTCACATACAACCTAAATTGGCTTCAAACCTAGAACTTTGGAAACCAGAAGGTGAAGTACATAGAATCTTTTAGCTCTTAAAAGTGACTTAATACCTGATCTTGTTTTTCTATGTAAAATAACTTTATCTAGCAAATGATTTTTCCAGTGGACTCGTAGAGGTAGCAGGATTGCTTGCCTTCTGGTCCCAAAAGTTTAAATCAAGTCATTTATTTTAAGAAGTGCCTCTAGTTCAGGAAAACTACCTAGATTAGCATGTATTCTACAATTTTCATTTTATTTTTATTTTGAAAATAGCTGTAGCTATTATACAGCTATTATACAGCTATTATACTATACAGACCAAAGGTGGCAAAACCGCAAACATTTTAGATGTCTCAGTTAACAAACACTCCTTGAATTTTGCATTATTAAGCGAAAATGTTCTCAAATGATTTTCAGGTTTTTCTTCTTTCCTAATTATTTATGTTCTTGCGTTAGTAGTATTAACCTGCATTCAAGATGACTTCAAATTTAAGATGACCCTGTACTAATTAAATTTTTTACGTGGAAAATAATACATTTGTCTTAATTTTTCCATGTACAGAATTTAAATATTGGAGAATCACCTTAAAATTGTTCCCAGCTTGACCTCTGCATCTTGCTGTCCTGCCATTTGCCCCTTCCTCCTCGCCCCTATCTGCACCCCTGCCACCTGCCTTTAACCCAGTCGCTTGACCTGTGGCCATATCCTCTGATCTGTGCTGCTGCCCATTCAGCAGCATGCCAGGGGGATGGTGAAGCAGCACAGGTCAGGGGACAGGGAAGCAATGCGGTGGGGTGTAGCATGGCAGCGTGCACTGCTGATGCTGCTGTGTTCAGGCAGAGCATCAGGCAGCAGCATAGGTCAGGGGATTCAGCAAGGTGCATAAGGAGGGAGGATTGGGCAGCAGTGTGGGTTGCGGGATGTGCTACTGCCCCATCCCCTGACCTGTACCTGCTGCTCCAGTCCCCCACCCAAATGCTGACCTGCGCTGCTACTTGATCCCCCATCTGATCCTGAAGTGTGGTGCTACCTCGTCCCCCACCTGATCTCTGACTTCTGTTGCTACCCTTTCCTGGACCCTAACCCAGGACCCTGACCTGCACTCAGTGCTCTGCTGCTGACTCCAAGCAGCAGTGCCAGCTCCAGTTCCAGCCCCAAGACCATGTCACGTCACACTGGTACTTGAATCCAAGATGAGACTTGTTTTTCCCCCATGTTGACCAGGGCGGGGGGCAAGTCATCTTGAGTAAATATGGTAAGTGCATTATCCAAGGTTTTGTAAAATGTTACAAAAATTTATGACTAAAAAAAACATTAAACATCTGCAACTGAAGTTCATTTCCTTTACCACTAAAGGAATCACAGTAAATTTGAGGAAAGAAGTATTGTGCAGAGTATTATTGACAGTAACATCAGCTTGGAGGAGCTAGAAAAGATAGTTTGGCAACCTTTCATTTAGAAAAAAACAATTCAGGTTTAGATACTTTTGCTGCCCTTTGAATATTAGATTAATGCTTTTCCATATGAACAAGAGGATCATAACATTTCAGTTGTTTGCAGGTCTGTTGGAACATTTTTGAGAGAGAAGTACTTATTGGAATTAGGGAAAACGAGTGACATTTTCTGTGCCCAAATAGACACTTATTCTACTACTTCGATGTGGTGTTATGTAGGACTACAGACTTGGCTTGATCCACATCCAGGCTCCTGCCATTAGAACCTGGATTGTGGGCCCCTTCTGATGACTAGTCTAAAAGCATACAGCTCTAGTGTAGGAAGTGGCATCACTAGGGCCCATGATGCAGTAATTCAGATTTTATAGTCTCAAGGCAGGCAGACAGACTACAAAAAGGAGGCTTCTCTAAAGCCTGTCCTGTAGCAAATTGCAGCCCCTTTCCTCTGGCAGAACTCACTGACGATGAGTGGGGAGTTAGTAGCGATAAAACACTGCCACTCTCTTTTAAGAAATAATCCCATCAGGTGTAGCTACCATGAACAGTCAGTGGATGCATGTTATAGCCCTTGTCCCATCTTGGAACGGCTTTATTTGGAAATGGAAATCCTTATCAGTCTTTTGTGCCTTTTTGTCTGTCTCCTTTGTTAGCTCTCTGAAATCACGAAGTAGGTGTGCAAAAAGATCATATTGTACCTGTGAAATTTGATTAAACAGGATTATATCTGCACCTTTATAGTGTAGGTTATAAATGGTAAAACCTTTTCTAGTAGTTTGACTTAAACCCTAAGTCTGAGTGCTATAGCATTTTCCTATCACCAGACACCAAACGGGATGTGAATGAATCCACCTGAAGATTTTGGAACTACAGAAGAAGTTGATAGAAACTCAAGAAATTGATAGAAAGTGATAATTTGTTTTGGAATCAGTTTTGGGCCTTCCAGGTGAATCTTTAAGATTCATATGCCTATGCTGATTAATTTTAGTCTAAAAAGCAAAGTTTGAGGTTCTCTGTTAAAAAACGTATTTGTCTAACATTAACAAATAAAGTCAAAAGGAAAATAATTTTCTTTCACCAGCATCCCACCACTTTTTCTATTACATGCAACAAGTATAGATCCATTTAGAATTTGTTTTACTTTTCCCTTTTTTAAGTATCTCAAATATGTTACTTTTAAAAAGCATTATTGACTTGTGCATATTACAATAAAAGCTTTGTTATCTGGCACCGATGGGGAATGAAGGGTGCCGGATAACAAAATTATGCCGGTTAATTGAGAGGCCCGAACAGGCGTCTTTTCCTGTTCGGGCTGCCACTTCTCCCACCGTGTCCGAGGCATTGCTGCCCCTCCTGCAGCATTGCTAACTCTCCCACCACATCACCGACCTTCCTGCGGGCCCTGAGGGACAGGGAGGCGGGTCCCGTGCAGCTTGCTATGCCCTGGGCCATGGGCACTTCTGGTTTCACTGTACCTTACAAGCTGGCATGCCAGTTAATAGAACATGCCAGCTTGTAAGGTGCCAGTTAACGGAGCTTTTACTGTATAATCCTAGCCAGACTAAAATATGCTTTACGCTGGTCTTTGTTTTTAAACAGTTCAGGGAAGCATGTTATTTTAAGCAAAGAACATATTACTATTTTCTTATACAATTTGAGTAAATTCCCCGTGATTTACGGAACAGTTCTTAGGACCTTGATTTATGTAGGAGCTGTAAGTGCTGTACATAAATCTGTTTGGCTGGGGAGGTATACAGACTTTGTGTTAAAGTAGGAGCCTTTATATTACATTTCTGTGACCTATTTGGTTTTTTTATGGCAGCTTCTGTTTAATATTATGTGTATCTGGGTGTTGTGATGCAAGTGTAACGCTAATGAAGTGTTGTACCTTTAAGTAAAGGTCTCAGACCTGACCTATGTTGTGTGGGTTTTTTGTTTGTCAGGCTAGAGGCATTTTCTCATTTTCACAGTTCAACTGAAAACAAAGGCCTCCTTATCCTTGCAGAGAGCTCTTAAGAGCTGACATCAGCCTTTTCCCAGCAGGCATCA